GCGTCAACAACAATCCTCGCAGGGAGGTGCTGCGAAAACAAGACTACCTCGCAGGATAGGTCTGCGTCAACAACAATCCTCGCAGGGGGTGCTGCGAAAACAAGACTACCTCGCAGGATAGGTCTGCGTCAACAACGATCCTCGCAGGGGGGTGCTGCGAAAACAAGACTACCTCGCAGGGAGGTGCTGCGAAAACAAGACTACCCCGCAGGATAGGTCTGCGTCAACAACAATCCTCGCAGGGAGGTGCTGCGAAAACAAGACTACCTCGCAGGATAGGTCTGCGTCAACAACGATCCTCGCAGGGGGGTGCTGCGAAAACAAGACTACCTCGCAGGGAGGTGCTGCGAAAACAAGACTACCCCGCAGGATAGGTCTGCGTCAACAACAATCCTCGCAGGGAGGTGCTGCGAAAACAAGACTACCTCGCAGGATAGGTCTGCGTCAACAACAATCCTCGCAGGGAGGTGCTGCGAAAACAAGACTACCTCGCAGGATAGGTCTGCGTCAACAATAATCCTCGCAGGGAGGTGCTGCGAAAACAAGACTACCTCGCAGGATAGGTCTGCGTCAACAACGATCCTCGCAGGGGGTGCTGCGAAAACAAGACTACCTCGCAGGGAGGTGCTGCGAAAACAAGACTACCCCGCAGGATAGGTCTGCGTCAACAACAATCCTCGCAGGGAGGTGCTGCGAAAACAAGACTACCTCGCAGGATAGGTCTGCGTCAACAATAATCCTCGCAGGGAGGTGCTGCGAAAACAAGACTACCTCGCAGGATAGGTCTGCGTCAACAATAATCCTCGCAGGGAGGTGCTGCGAAAACAAGACTACCTCGCAGGATAGGTCTGCGTCAACAACAATCCTCGCAGGGGGGTGCTGCGAAAACAAGACTACCTCGCAGGATAGGTCTGCGTCAACAACGATCCTCGCAGGGGGTGCTGCGAAAACAAGACTACCTCGCAGGATAGGTCTGCGTCAACAACGATCCTCGCAGGGGGGTGCTGCGAAAACAAGACTACCTCGCAGGGAGGTGCTGCGAAAACAAGACTACCCCGCAGGATAGGTCTGCGTCAACAACAATCCTCGCAGGGAGGTGCTGCGAAAACAAGACTACCTCGCAGGATAGGTCTGCGTCAACAATAATCCTCGCAGGGAGGTGCTGCGAAAACAAGACTACCTCGCAGGATAGGTCTGCGTCAACAATAATCCTCGCAGGGAGGTGCTGCGAAAACAAGACTACCTCGCAGGATAGGTCTGCGTCAACAACAATCCTCGCAGGGGGTGCTGCGAAAACAAGACTACCTCGCAGGATAGGTCTGCGTCAACAACGATCCTCGCAGGGGGTGCTGCGAAAACAAGACTACCTCGCAGGGAGGTGCTGCGAAAACAAGACTACCCCGCAGGATAGGTCTGCGTCAACAACAATCCTCGCAGGGAGGTGCTGCGAAAACAAGACTACCTCGCAGGATAGGTCTGCGTCAACAATAATCCTCGCAGGGAGGTGCTGCGAAAACAAGACTACCTCGCAGGATAGGTCTGCGTGAACAATAATCCTCGCAGGGGGGCGCTGTGATGACAAGTGAGACCCGCAGGAGACCGCTGCGTTAACAAGTTCTCTGCAGGAGACCGCTGCATTACCAAGTTCTCCGCAGCCTAGGTCCTGCGTCAACAAGTGTGCCTCGCAGGATGGGCTCTGCGTCAACAAGTGTGCTTCGCAGGATGGGCTCTGCGTGATCAAGTGTGCCTCGCAGGATGGGCTCTGCGAAACCAAGAACTCCAGACCTTCCGTGACCACGGCTGTTGCTGCCACGAGCCCAGCGATGTAAGATTTGCGCTCCCTCACAGCCAATGAGCCCTGTGTATGTAAAAATGTGCTCCCTCGCAGCCAATGAGCCCTGTGACTGTAAAATGTGCTCCCTCGCTGCCCTGAGCCCCGCGAGTGTAAAATGGTGCTTCGCAGGACGAGCTCTGCGTCAACAAACGTGCTCTGCAGGGGACTGCTGCGTTAACAAGGCCTCTAGCGATGTGTAGGCACCTCTCCGTGGTGTTAGAGACCAGTATTCGAGCTTTCAACAGTATTCGAAGAAGCAAAGACCTGCCCAACCTCCTCATAGTCTGTTTCTTTTTCCGAAGGATCATCATTGGATAGATAGAATGAGCCCTAGATAGATCGTCCCAAATTCAATGGCCAAAATTATACGATAACAACGAAACTGTCATTTTTATCAAAGGGGAGGTTCCCAAATGTTCTGCGCTGATAGTTTGCGGTCCGATAGTCCTTTCGCGGTATTGAAACTGGCACCCTTCATTCAGGCGTAGATCAAACATGTCGGTGAGAATTGGTGAGAGTTGGTGGTGAGAGTGTTGATGTGTTGACGTGTTGATGTGTTGATGTTGTTGATTATTAAGTGATGCTTCAGTGTTCATGTCATTGAGGGGAGTTGATTGTGTGTTGTGTTGCATATTGTCTAAGATACAAGTAGGCTGGTGAACAGGTATATATGTATGCACGTGATCCCAGCCTCATTATTATCTCAGCAACCGGGATATTTGGGAATTGATATACCCCCAGTGAGCTCGCACTGGGCAGCAGCCCTCGCCAGGTTGTTGGGACAATGGATTCATACCTTCTCGTGGTGTCCGGTGTTAATCCCCGTTGGGGAGACCAAAGTGAATCCGCCGTGGTTGTGCGGTCCAGCCCGGCGCGGTTGGCGCGGGGCACGACCGCACAACCACACCAAAATCAGGGGATAACGGGATATGAAAACCATCCGACTTCTTCTTACCCGACTCGCACTCGGGCCCGATACTGGTCTTGCATTACCAGTGGAAGTGGTGTCGCCTAAGGAGAAGACAGGACACCCCTGAGCTTGCATACGGTCTGGGATCGCATCGTGCGAGATGCGACGAGGTGGTAGTGAACTGGTGACACAGGCAGTCAAGCTGATATCAGACAGACCTCGTTCAAGGCCCAGAGGCCTCGTTAAGACTTGAACTCGCTAAGGCCCGGAGACATCGCTCGCTGGAGACCTCGTTAAGGCTCAGCCACGGGCAAGCTTTAGGGCGACTGCTCTTCGGGACACGGGCACCACCGAGACACGGGCATCCTCCTGGGAGATACACGGGCGTTCTGGAAGGGACTGGTAGTTGGCTGGTGGCAAACGATGGACCTCGTTAAGGCGTTGCCACGGGCAAACCATCGATCCTGCTCAGGCATCGGGGACCAAGCTTGGTTAGTGGAGAGCAACCGACATATACTGCCGGATGGAGCGTATGGAGGACTTTCTGCAAGACACGGTCGGCCTGGCGGAGGGAGACCTCCTCAGGTAACGCGAAACGAGAGTGAAAGCTCTCGCGGGGCGTGGTGTACAATGGCAGCCACTGCGGCAGGGTCGGGGCCTGTCAAGAGACTGTCTGTATAGCCCGAGAGGACGGATGCGCGTGTCGGTGTACAAAAAGCCGGGAGTCAACTACCCCACTCGCACTGGGGGCCTGAGATCGACCTTGGTCGGTTGAAGCGGTGTCGTCCTAGTTGGCTTGCCCGTTATGTATGCTTAAGGAGCAAACTGAGAGACACCCAGGGTGAGAGGTGTGGTGAACCTCAAAAGACCAGAAGCCTCATTTATCGGGTGAAAAACTGGGGTAGTGGTCTATGCAAGTAGACCTGTCGAAGCTACTTAATGTCTTTTGGTCAACAGGGCCACCATCATCTAGGGACAGTTTCAACCGGGATATTCCAACAGAGTTCACATACACTACTTATCCCTACTACCGCTCGGCCCCGCCAGATGGAGGTCGACGACCCCCCTGCGGCCGACCCTCGACCGGGAACTCCGCACCTCTTCGAGTCCTCGGAACCCCCTTCGGACCCTGCCACGCCTACTCCCTTCCCTCGAAGCTCCCTGAAACGTAGAGCAGTCTCTCCACCCGCAGGCCCAGTCCTGGGCCTCGATAGCCACTCCCGTGCCCGGCCAGGAAGCCTGGCAAACCACGGCGCCGAACCAACGTGACCGAACCCGGCAGCGGCAGCGCCAGACGAAAGAAAGTGACTCCCGCATCTTCCTCCGACTCCCAAGCTCCTCCAGCTTACGGGATATTGGGCCCCATGGCGTCCGAGTCACACTAGCATGCAAAGTCCCCGGCGAAATCACACGAGTACAAACTGTCCCTACAGGCTACGCTATATCCGCAACCAATGAAGGCACGACCTTCCTACTCTCTTCTCAGGCTAAACAGCTAGCCGGGGACGGCTACTTCGAGGCCGCGACGGAATACCACCAGGTCGTGGTCTCCCGTATCCCACAGCGAATCTGGACCCCCGATAATGGCTGGATGCCCACTACAGTCAGCGATATTAGTGTAGAAGCGGAGCGAATAACCGGCCAAAAGCCGCTCACGACCAAGCTCTCTAACCACCGGATCGAAGCAGACTCTGTCACAGCGGTTATAGCTTTCCCAAAGAAGCTCCGCTACGCGCTTCAGCTATTCGGCGCCTCCGGCCTTTCTAGGCCCACTCGCCCAAAGCAACGGCCGCTACAGTGTACCCGCTGCCACAGCTTCCATGACACGCGGGCCTGCCGCTCTAGCGAACGCTGCGTCTCCTGCGGATCGTCCAAGCCAGAACATACCTGCCGCGCGCAATGCATTAACTGCCATGGACCGCATGCTGCGGACTACCCAAAATGCCCCGCTAGGCCCTATACACAGAAAGGGGCTATCGTCCGCCTCTCGAAAGCTGCCTTGACTGCCGTTCGTAAGGCCGGCCGGACCGCCTTCCAGCAACAACAAGCTAGACGCACCCCTGACCCACGAGCGACTAACCCGGGTCTTCACTATCAACCGTCAAGCCAGCTCTCCCAGGAGCTCGCGAACCAACTCTCCCCCAACGCAGAGCTATGAGAATACTACAGGCCAATGTCGGGTGGGGCGGCCCTACCCACGACCTACTTCTATCGTACGAAGCTGACGTCATCCTAGTCCAGGAGCCCTGGACTGATATGACGAGGCAACTCACGAAGACTCACCCACGCTACCAGCTGTTTGGCCCTACCACCCGCTGGGGAGCTAGGCCTAGAGCTCTGACATACGTACGCAGGGACCTCCCCGCGTTCCCCCTCCCACACCCCGATTCGCCCGATATCGCAGCAGTCTGCATATCCGGACTCACAATAATCAACACTTACCGCCCCCCAAAGGATCTAGTGGTCCCAAACACATCCAGTTCAACACCATCTACCCTCCACACGCTCCTGCAGTACTCCCCCCCCGCAGAACACCATCCTAGCCGGGGACTTCAACACCCACCACCCACTCTGGCAGCCGGAGACGGAGGCTCACAACACTACCCCAGGAGCAACAGCGCTTATAGAGTGGCTGGTGGCCAACGGACTAGCCCTTTGCATCGAGCCCGGCACCCCTACCCGCGGGCCAAACACCATAGACCTCGTCTTCTCAGACATCCCCGTGGAAGCTACAGCAGAGGACCACCTCTCTTCCACGAGTGACCACGCAACGATACTAATAACAGTAGACTGGCAGGAACCCCCACCCCGCCGGAAGCTGGGCTCGACCGACTGGGAGAAGGCTAAGGCATTACTCAACCTGCCGCATAAGGACCTTCCTGTTGACGACATAGCCGAAAAACTAGTCAACACCGTGCAAGAAGCCATCCGAGGCGCATCTAAATATAACACCCGCGGGCTCCCACGTACCCCTTGGTGGACGTCGGAGCTCACAGACCTGCTACGACAGACACGGCAGCAGCAGGCGCCCGACTACCTGCCACTTCGGAGAGCGGTTTCCCGCGCGAAGGCCAGCCACTGGAAGGAGCGGATCGAGCACGCCACTTCACCCACAGACGCCTTCACACTCGCCAGATTGCACAGGCGCGCAGACCAGCTCTCCGCTCCCCCCTTTACATATCCGGAACGACCGGGTCACGACGCCACAGGGCAAGGCGGACACCTTCCTCACTCACCTCCTAGAGAAGGGAACCTCTCTCCCGCACCAGCAGGAGGAGGGTCCCCCGACTCAGCCCCGAGATCCAGTAGGACTACCAACGAAGGAGGACTGCTGGGCCGCCCTCTGCGCGCCCACTCCGTCTGCCCCTGGAGAGGACGGACTTGCCACGACAGTTTGGAGGGAACTCTGGTCGGTCGTGGGCGACCTAGTCACATCACTCTTCCGCCGCAGCCTAACAGAAGGGCACTTCCCGCAAACCTTCAAATCTGCAAAGGTCGTTATGCTACCAAAGCCGGGGAAGAGGGACCTCACCCAGCCAAAGTCCTGGCGACCCATTAGCTTACTCTCCACCCTAGGCAAAGGCCTAGAACGCTTCATCGCGCAGCGACTCACGGTTCAGACCATTCAAGCACAACTACTAATATCGTGCCACTTCGGCGCCCTACCCGGCCGCTCAGCCGTAGACCTAGTCCAGATCCTTACCCATAGGGTGGAGAGAGCCTTCCAGCAGAAGAAGGTGGCCTCGTTACTACTACTGGACGTGAAAGGGGCCTTCGACGCGGTTGATCACCAGCGGCTCCTATCCCACCTACGCCTCCAGGGATGGGACGAAGGCCTTACCTCTTAGATACACGACTGGCTATCCGACCGCTCCGTTTCGGTCCAGGTCGGAGACGCTACCGCCACCGCAAAAATAAGAGGAGGCCTCCCACAGGGGTCCCCGCTGTCCCCAGTCCTCTTCCTCCTATATGCGGCGAAGATAGTCTCCTCGCAAGATAACTCCTTCTGCTACGCGGATGACCTAGGGCTACTGTTCTTCGGGGACTCCCTCGAGGAGACATCCCAGCAGCTAGTAGAAGTATACAAAACGATCACCCTATCTGGAGCAGCATCAGGTCTCCCATTCTCCCTAGAGAAGACGGAGATACAACATTTCTCGAAGCGGCGGAAGCTGTCCGCGCCTACGGTCACTCTACCAGGGGTAGGCGAGATTAAGCCATCCCCATATACCCGTTGGTTAGGCGTCTTACTGGACAGCAAGCTCACCTACCGACCACACATCAACTGGGTCTTCAGCCGGGGCAAGCAGCTCGCACTACATCTCCGGAAACTCAGCAACACCCAGCGAGGATGCCCGGTTGCCTCTATGCGCGCAGCGGTCATTCAGTGCGTGATACCGACAGCGTTATACGGCGCGGAGGTCTTCTACACCGGCCGAGGGCAGAAGGGTCTCATCGACTCCCTACGCTCCCTACTCCGGCTCGCTGCTCTAGCCATTCTTCCAGCTTACAGAACAACCCCTACCTCAGCGCTACTCCGCGAGGCAGACCTACCCTACCCGGAAGCCCTCCTCGACGGCGTCCTCCAAAGAGCAGCAGTCCGATACGCGAGCCTAGACGCTAGGCACCCGATCGCGAGAGTTACCATCGATGCATACGATACTAAAGGGACGAGACTCACCAGAATCCTCCAACGCGTCCCAACGCCGGCACCGGAGAGAGCACGTGTAGAGTCACGTCTCCCACCGCTCCGCATACTACCTACCACAGACGCAAACAAGGCCGCATACGCACCAGCACCGCTACGGTTAACGGTCTACTCGGACGGCTCACGCACTGGCCAAGGGGCTGGGTACGGGTTCGTGGTCTACTACGGCTCTATCCCTATCACCCAAGGGTATGGGCCAGCTGGCTCCCAGTCAGAGGTGTACGACGCCGAGATTATGGGCGCAGTAGAGGGCCTCCAGGCGGCTGTCAACCTACCCTGTGCAAGCTACTCCACCGGCCTCGTTGTCCTCCTCGATAACCTCGCTGCCGCTAGCTTACTCGCGGACGGGAGGCCTGCGCCACACAGACGAAAACTCACGGACTTATTCCAAAAGCTTACTACCCAGTGGGAATCCGCTCCCTATATCCTCAGCACACCCCGCACGCCCGTGGAGGTGCGCTGGATGCCAGGCCACTCTGGGATAGCAGGGAACGAGACTGCCGATGAGCTAGCAAAGAGGGGCGCAGCGTTAGACGGCTCCCATATTCCCCCTTCCCCATCTTACCTTGTGCGCGAAGCAAAACAACATATCCGCACGGCAACGCGTGCTGCGTATACCAGAGACGCACCTCAGGCATACCGAGACCTAAATATCCAACCTCACACCAAGAGCAGCCGCGCTCGGGAACACAGGCTTCCCCGCGGGGTGCTCGGCCGGCTGCTAGCCGCACGGACTGGCCATGGTGACTTCCAGGTATACCACGAGAGGTTCCATCATAGGGACTCCCTTACGACCTGCTCCTGCGGTAAGCCAAAATCCCCCGTCCACTTCTTCTTCTGCCCGCCTGCGAGGAAACGCTGGAAGGATCGATGGAAAGGCCGAAAGGCCAGCCCATCTGCAATGATAAACTAGATACTGAGCACAGCTGCTGGGGCCGAGGAATTCGGCCGTTTCGTGCCAGAAACGTTCTTCTTCAAGGACATCTGCCCAAATCGGGCACAAACATGCGCCGCATAGCGCAACAGTCTTCACCTCTGCCCAGATGGGAGAGGCCGGCACCCTCTCCCATCCGCGGGTAGTCAGTCCACCCCCAGGAACCCAGGCCAGGATAGTGCCTGGCGCTTCTTTAACCCTTTCTCAGCACGTAGTGCTCAATTTTGCTGCTTTCCAGCGTGTATTTAGTAAATCCTCGCTTAGGTAGCACGTCCAGTTACCCCTCGGGAGGTAGTGGGTCACCTGCCAAGTGACCTGCCAGCGACGTTAAGTAATCAATAATAATAATAATAATAATAATTTCAACAGATGTGTTGATGTGTTGATGTGTTGATGTGTTTGTTGAATATCACGGCGGCTAAGCTTATGGAGTGGATTAGGGTCGGAGATATAAAGACGGGCTACCCCTCTCCTGTAAATAAGTCAATCAATCAATAAAGGGAGTAGTTTTATTGGGGTTGCCTCACAATGCCCGTAGCCTCACGTGATATCTACACCGACACTACTGAGGGCCTCTTCCTCCTACAACTGCCTCACGAGAGTCAGTTCCTTACCTCTGCGGGTAGCTCGTCATCTCTCACGCAGTCAAGTCTTGATTTTGTTTCACGTCCTTCTCCAGGGCAACAGCACCGATAGGCCCTGACTATATCGCTCTCCACCATGACGTTCAGCCAGTCTAGCAGTGCCACTCCTGCCCCGCTCGACTCCGCTTGGCCGCCGGCCCACATTTGGGAAACCATGGATGCGGCAGACCGTGCCAGCTGGCTAGGACAGATACAGAGAGATCGGGCTAGGCGCCTTGAATTCGATGTAGCGGAGACCGATCTCCGCCACAGAAGGCCTCGTGTGGACCTGCAAGATGACGATAATCTCGAAGTAAACCGTGAGCCACTCCCCGAAGTCAAACCACTCATCGACATATTTCCGGGTGTCTCCGCCGCCCTTCTTACTCGCGTCTTTGAGAAGAAGTTGAAGGCGACTGAACTCATACGCTTCAAAGAGAAGTCAGTCACCGAGCTAGATCAGGAGGACAGAGTCTTCGAGATGACCGAGTTGGGAGGCACAGTAGGCTTCAAGAAGGCAGCAGCGTCGCTTAAGGACTGGGGCCCCAACCCTCAAATATGGACGACCTGCTTTCTTGCCTATCTGGCCGTTGTAGGATATCTCTTCGGCGAAAAACATCCTAAAGCAGTTCCCAATCTACTCATGTTTATGAGGCAGATCCTGGACTTCGCTCAGACTTATCAGTGGTCGGAAGCAGTCCTCCCACTTGCCCTTAATTTCCACCAATACATGATGGATAAAGGAGAGTTATCGACGGACAACTACCTGGTCACAGGCCCATTTCGCGAGAAATACCTCCGCCACAATCTCACCCTGTCTGCGAAGTCACCAACAAACCCTCCAACCCGGCCTCGTCAAGCTAGGAATACCAGATCTTCGAATAATGAGACAGAAGTTTGCGATAAGTTCAATACGACAGGGTGCACCTGGGAAGGCTGTAAGAGACGTCATGAGTGCACAGCATGTGGCCTAAGCGAGCATGGCGCCTCCTCCTGCCGCAAGAAGAAATAGCAAGTGACAGCCCTTGAGAACTGCACTAGTGACACCGACAACGTTGTTCTCAATCCCCTATCCCTAAGCCTCATACCACAGGGGCAACCACCCAGACCAAACACTGCTGTTCAATACCCTGTTTTCAACCCAGAGCTCCCAAGGCTACAGTCCTCTCCGTCGCCACTGCATGCGAAAGGCTGGAGCAATCTTCTACGCTACTACCCGGGCGATCTCGGGTCCACTATCGCTGGCATTCTGACCTACGGTGTTCAGGTCGGCTATAGGGGCAAGAAGCAGTTTCGCTATTCCTCCAACCATCACATACATGAACCCGGCATGATCACGGCCAAACTAGCAGAGGATCTCAGCCTCGGTCGTGTTAGACTAGCCTCTAGGCCCTCCTTCGTTTCACCGCTTGGGTTAGTCCCTAAGCACGACGGGGGATGGCGCCGCATCCATGATCTATCCTGGCCCCCTGGACAGGGCCTTAACCAGGGCATACCGGACTCCTGGTCAGCTATCGAATACATGACAATCGATGACATATACGAACAGGTCATACAAGCTGGCCCAGGTTGCACAATAATCAAGAGGGACATCAAGGACGCCTTCCGAATCGTCCCCATTGCCGAGGATAACCAGCACCTCCTTGCCTTCCAGTGGACCGATTCCACTTATGTCGAATGCTGCCTCCCCTTTGGCGTCGCAACGGCCCCGTTTCTCTTCAACCTCTTCGCCGAGGCACTCCATTGGATACTCCAATGCCTCCTCCCTGCATTCCATATCAATCATTACCTAGATGACTTCATCACAATTACTCAGTCTCCCTCAGTGTCCGACCCCACAGGTCTTTTTGATGAGGTTTATAACAGAGTCACCGACTATCTACGTATTCCTCGCAATACACAAAAGGACCAGCAAGGGACCTGTGTTACAGTCCTAGGTATCCAGATCGACTCTATTGCAATGGAAGCTCGTCTGCCGCCAGAAAAGTTGTGCCGCGCCACATTGGACGCCGCAGCTGCCCTGAACGCAGCGAGTCTCTCCGTCAAGCAAGCAGAGCGCCTCACAGGCTTATTAGCCTTTTGTTCAAGAGTTGTCCGACTTGGAAGAACAAGATTACAGTCTCTATACACCTTCCAAGCCGCTTTCCCACATGGGAGTAGTGCGCGCCGCCGTATCCCTTACGAGATACGTGACGATTTGGAATGGTGGAGGGACTCCTTGTCTCTCTTCAACGGCGTACTCCTAATTGACCCCTGCCGCCGCCCCATCACGCATCTCTACACAGATGCCTCTAGTATAGGCCAGGGGCTCTTCTTCTTCTCATCCCAGTCTACATTAGACTGCTGGCTGGCCCATTGTCACCAGCTTCATCCAAGCAATGCTGCCACATTGGCCCTTGCTGAAGACGCACATGCGCACATCAATACCAACGAAGTAGACGCTATTCTACAAGGCTTCCTACTCTTCAGCCACCATTGGCTCCATCATACTCTCGTTATCCACACGGATAGCTCCACAGCGCACACGGGACTCAAGAAAGGCTTTCTTCATGGTCCGCCTAACGCACCTCTGAAGAGCCTGCTTATCCTAGCGGCAGCGAGAGACATCCACATCGTGCCACACTGGCTCCCCTCCGGGGAAAATACATTAGCAGACGCGCTCTCACGTAACAATCTTGAAGACATTGCTAACATTTGTCCCCATTGGCAGGACCTCTCGGTATTGAACCGCCCGCGTGGTTCTCTTCACGAGCTCCTCAGCTCAATACCGGCCACCTAAAACTGCTCTGGAACGGACTCAGCGCCAACACCCGTTCCGTTTACCTCTCCGTTCAGCGCAGCTACGAAAAGCACTGCGCGCTACAAAATTTCTCCGCATGGCCAGTGTCAAGACATTCATTAACCTCATGGCTAAGCTCACGACTCCTTGGTAACGCCAGCCAAAAGGCCGTCAAGCCTGACACCGCACTCGCCGACCTAGCCGCTCTCCGAGCCTACCATATCGATAATTTCCTTGACGATAAACTCTTCGATAACAAGCATTTTCGACGTCTCATAGACGGTGCGAGAAGACTCAACCCCATCACAAAAGTACGGGTCAGAAAACCTATTTCGCGTGACACTATTACGAAACTATCCGCGGGCCTCGCCGCACTCCCGTCACGGCCCTTGGAGATGTCTGCGAACCTTCTAGACGACTTGAACTTCGCAACCGCGTGCCGGGTAGCATTTGCTGGATTCCTCCGCCTCGGCGAATTCACCTACAAGACTGAAGACCTTAGCACACATTCTATCTTCTCAGCCACAAAGTTAACTCGCTCCGACGTCAGATTCTCGTCCTCGTTAGACCACGCACAACTCACACTCAAGCGCAGTAAGACGGACCGCCGCCACGAAGGGGTGCAAATTGTTCTTGCAAAGACGGGAGACGGCGCTTGCCCTGTTGATGCCCTTCAGAAGCTGCTACTCCTCGATCCTAGAGGGCCCGACGCCCCGTTGTTCTCCTTCCACAGAAGACCATTCAGTCGCAACAACTTCCTCTCGACCTTATCTACTAAGCTAAGAGCGCTTGGACTACGGACAGAGGGCTACTCGGGTCACAGTTTTCGGAAGGGCGCAGCTCAGCATGCGCACGATAGTGGGATACTCGACGACCAGATTCAGATGCTAGGGAGATGGACCTCAGAGTCTTTCAGGGTGTATTTTACGGCGAACGCGTCAGTTTTGTACAAGCTCAATCACCAGTTCCAGACAGGCTCGCCGGCCCCGCTGTCTCTGCTGCTTCCACCACCGTCCCGTCCACCATCCTAGTTTGGCCGGGTCATTTTGGGCCTATCTGACGCTACGGTCTACGACCGCAGCGACAGGTGACCCGGTATGGCCAAACTACACTCTTCTTGCTCCTCTTGACTGCGTGAGGTCACCAATAAACCGTCTTAATATTGAGGCAATGAAGCTGTTCATTCTTTGATTTTACCAAGAGCGCTCACATTTTCATCTAAGGAACATGGAAATTTGCTGGCCTCGCTCGAGTGTTGATTGTCTGAGCTGTGTGTGGTTCTGTCCGTCTAGGCTGCAGGAAGCGTCAGGCCGCGGTCGCGCGGGCGCGGGTACTCAACTCGTCAACCCGTTGAAGCTTGGCCGTCCTTGTTGACGGGAGTCAACTTTTGAACTCGTGATCATGGTTAAGATAGATACCTTGTTTTTTCGATTTTCTTTTTCGGTCCTCTAGATTGTACTCTATTTACTTTTGGGATTTCTGAGCTCTCAACCGAATGTGGAAAATGCGTTGTGATTGAATATATATCTCCTGGACTGTTCATCACCAGTTAGCCAATAATATGAAGCACATTCACC